GGAGGGGTGTGAGTGTCCCATCGGTTGTCTGAGGCTTTATGCCTCTGGTAGGGTTACCCATGCTAAACAGGTCCTAGGTGAGGGATCAGACAAGGAGACCTCTCATGAAGAGAAACAGAAGTTGAGTGTTCCCTCGCTCAGGCACGGGTCACCGAGGCCCCCCCTCTGGAGCCAGGCCTGGAGGTAGGGCACGTTGGCGAGTGCCTGGTGACCGGACTTTCACCCATGGAGCCCGGCCGGGCACAGAAGAGGAAACGCGGGCCCCCCTTCCCATGGGTTCACCACTCGTGGGAGGGGCCAAAGGGGTCGGGTGCAGTGTGTGACGGGTGGTAGTTGAGGGCGGGGACCTTGGTGCTCTGATCCTCGGCTACAGAAGCTGGCTCTTGGCACGTAGGTTGTCGCCTCTGTGGTGGGGAAGGAGCCTGAGTTGGTGTGTGAGGTTGAGAGGTTCTGACTAGATATAGTCGGACTCACCTCAACGCATGGCAGATCAGAGCTGCGGCCACAGGGTCGTCAGTGCCTGTCATGGTGCCAATGCCCAATCCTGCTGTTGGACACCAACGATTAGGGGTGCTGTCAAGCGGAAGAAAGAGTCCTATCGGGTCTTTTTGGCCCGTTTGGCCCGTGGGACTCCAGAGGCAGCTAATAGGTACCTGCAGGCCACGTGGTCGGTCAAAAACCTGGGCGCAGGAGGAGTTTGTTGAGAGCTTGGAGCAAGACTACCATACAGCTTCAAGGAGATTCTGGTCCACCGGCACCTCAGGATGGGAAACCAGTACGCTACCAACACTGTTTGTAGTGGGGAGGTGTCGGGACGTTGTAGATCAGTGGGCAGAGTACTTCCAAGGCCTCCTCAATCCCACCTGCACACCTTCCAGTGAGGACTCAGAGCCCGGGGGCTTTGGGGACTCCATCCTCTGGTGCTGAGGTCACTGAGGAGATCAAAAAGCTTCTTGGTGGAAAGGCTCCGGGGGTTCCTCAAGGCATTCCTTGTTCTTTTCTTACACAGTTTAGTAAAAAGTATTTTACCTGACATGTTTGGCTAGTATCTCTAGCCATCTTTAGAGATTGCCGGAGTTGGTGGCATCACTTCCTTTTATCTGAACCATGAACCATGAAGAGAGACGATGGAGTATTCACACTGGATCATGCTCGGGACAGTCATCCCCACACCATAGTTTATTTACATAGCACGTTAAAAGCGCTGCACAGGCTAAAACAAAACGCGACCATCCTAAGGAACTAAAACAGAGGATAAAAATACCAGTAGTCAAAGGCAGATTAAACATGAGGAACACTAAGAACACATTAAAACACTAAAACGAGTCACTGTCTAAAGCCACATCGTAGAAGTGGGTCTTTAAACGAGATTTAAGACCACCAGTGATGGAGCCTGCCGAACTATAATGGGTAGAGAGTTCCACAGCTTTGGGGCAGCATGCACAAATGCTCGTTCACCCCTGATTTGTATTGCATCCGGAGCGTGCACAGCAGCAGGAGGTCAACGTGCGCGTGGGTACATATGGAGTGAGCAGGCCAGAGAGATAGGGAGGTGCCAGGTCGTTGAGAGCTTCAAATACAGAGGTCAGGAACTTAAACTGCACTCTGAAAATGACAGGGAGCCAGTGAAGAGGTGCCAGGACAGGGGTAATGTGGCTACGTCGGTGTGTACTCGTCAAGAACCTGGCAGCAGTGTTCTGAACGACCTGCAGCTGATTCAGGGCGGATACCGGAACACCAACGAGGAGGGCGTTTGTGTAGTCCAGGCGAGAGGTAATGAAGGCATGGATGACTGACTCCAAATGCCTCCGTTTCAAGATTCGTCTGAGGTGAGTCAGGCGGCGAGGCTGATAAAAACAAGACCTCACTACGGAGTTTATCTGTGGGGCCATTGTGAGTCCAGCATCCAGCTTGACCCCGAGACTTGTCACACACTGTTTGGGGTTGAGGGTTAAAAGGTCACATACAAGGTGAGAGCCATGGTGGTTGTGGGGGTCAAAAACAATAAACTCAGACTTCTTTTCATTCAGTTTTAAGAAGTTGGATGCCAGCCAGCCCTTCACATCATCTAAACATGCAGCCAATCACGAGCCAGCATTCTTCTCATCCATTTCCACGTATAGCTGACAGTCATCAGCGTAGATGTGATAGCTCAGGCAATGCTGATTCAGGATGTTGCCCAGAGGCAGAAGGTAGATAGAAAACAGCAATGAACCGAGAAATGGCTCAGCAATGAGGACCAGACAGTGGAGGGTGGCACCATCCTCTGCTGCCCGTGGATGAAAGGAAGTAACACCACCGACACCAGCGCATCGAGCTTTGGGTAGTGACTGAAAGAACGAGATCACGGATACAAGCAGCCAAAGTAAGTTTTCTCCGCAGGCTGGCTGGGCTCTCCCTTTGAGATAGGGTGAGAAGCTCGGTCATCCGGGAGGGGCTCGGAGTAGACCCGCTGCTCCTCCACATCGAGAGGAGCCAGGTATCTAGTTAGGATGCCTCC